TTCCATGTAGCCTTACACGCCATCACAAACCTCCCATGGAGTCACCAGAAGACCTGACTTCTTACTGCTCTCCCATAAAGAGTCTCTGTCACCTATGTACTCATTCCTCCTACAAAGGAGACGTCGTCACCAATGACAACCCTGTCAGTATACCAGACACGGGCACCCCCATGCTCCCTTCCCCCCAGTCGCACCTCAAACCGGCTCTTGCTGACCCCGTTCATCTCTCTCCTCCTGGAGGTGGCCGTTCTTCTCCCCCTCTATGTCCTGATCTCACCGAGTCACACAGTGCCGACGGTCCCTCCGCTGCTGCCGGTTGAGCCGGACTCGGGTGACAGCGCCCGTCCGCCGACAAGTACCCCAGATCCTCTCCAGTCTATGAGGCCTTTAACTTTAGCCCAAAACAATAACACCCGCACCTGCCAGCATTGACGTCTGTGATTGGACGCTGGAAGGAGATGGGGAGGAGCTCGGCAGCTGACAGCTGATCGGAGCCGCGGGGACTGACTGGGCACCGGCATCTGGCCTACAAGACCGGGATGTGTGCCCGGTTATCCCGGACCTGAGCGGCTTCAGTCTACGTGCCCGGGCTCCCAGAGACGGGGCTGGCGGTATGTGCCGAGCTGGGAAGATGGGCTGACTTTACCATGACAAACGTCACAAAGGGCCCAGCCAGCGATTTAAAGGGACACAGCGCCGCTGACGTCATACGTCCTAAAATGGGCATGTGGCTGCCGGTCAGAGTGCAGCCATGTTAAAGCTGAACGCTGATATAAGAAAATCTCTAAATTCAAGGAGCATGTGTATTCTTACTTCAATCTTGGTGTGTTTGATGTATTCCAGATCTGAGCTGTGATCCAATGTGAAACTATTTTTTTTTTTTCATTTTTTGTATCTGCTCTTATAGACTTAGGTTCCATTCTCACCTGAGCGGCTCTCCGCGCATTACTCATTCGGCTGTACGGCTACGCGCGGAGCCGCTCTAAACACACAAAAAAATGCACTTCAATGTGCATCGTTCACAATCTTGCGGGGACCGCGTGGCCCCCAAAATAGTGCAAGTGTGATAATCCGGCGGATTCCACACGTTTGCGACTATTTAATAGCGGCAAACAAGCGGCATCTGCGCCGATAGAAAAGCATTTGCGTTTTCGGCCCGCACAGTCTTCGCGCGTGGGGAACCGCAAATGCTATGTGTGAATGCAGCCCAAAGGGGGTCACACACTGCTCAAGTCCAGCTAACGCTGCCAACATTTGAGCAGTGTGTGACCCCATCAGTGCCACTCCGTTCAGCAAAAATCAATCGACTTTTTTTGAGGCATCCAGTTTGAGGGCCCTGTCACACCATCAAGAATGCGTTCAAGTGTGTTGGGCCTCTGGAACGCAACCCGGCCGGCTCACTTTGTTATGGGGCGGAAGGGGGCGTGGCATTGAACTCAATGGCACTGCAGCCATGCCCCACCCACAATGCGATCGCCGGCACCCGAACGCGTGGCACATTATTGCCTGCATTCCGGTCCAGTGCAATCTGCAAAAAAATGCTGCATGCACTATTTTTTGCAGATCTAACTGGACCGGAACGCAGGCACTAATGTGCCACACGTTCTGATGCCGGGGATCGCACCGCAGGTGGGGGGGCGTGGCTGCGGTGTCATTGAGTTCAATGCACCATCACACCCCCTCATACCCAAAAACAAAGTGAGCCGGCCGGGTTGTGTTCCAGTCACCGCAGCCAATCGGATGCACTCACTGTTCATGTATCTGACATGAACAGTGACATGAGCATGAGCTAGTGCCAGGTGTGACATGAGCTAGTGCCAGGTGTGAGAATACAAAAGCCCAGCAGGGATTCCTTCATCCATGATCTTTAGCATTTTTTCTCATTCAGCATGTGCCTCATCAAATACTTAATGTCTTATTCTTTCTGGTCTGGAACGCACTGGACTGCACCATGGTGTGAACTAGAGCCCAAAATACTATTGGAATACATGGGATGTGTTTTTGATGCGTTCTGGAACTGCTTTGCTCCGCACTTGGTGTGAACTAGCCCTGAAGGTGGTTTGGGGCGGTAACATTACCACTTGCAAAAAGGTTTTCTTCAGAGAGATGTTGAATGCAGAAGTGCTGCTGCTCTTACGCTCGCATTATTGGGGCAGCAGCCCATGTGTAAAGTTAAATAGGGAATCATTGCTGACCATTCCTGTTGAAATGCGAGACCCCTGCCTGTCATACTGATGCATTGGGCTTAGACCTTTTGAGCTGATGACCCAGAACAAGTATACAGATAAGGAATGCTGATGCTCATTTCTACTTTATATAGTCATGGTCTGTGGCTCAATGTATTGGTGATGTGCCCAAATGACATTTTTAGACCAATGGTCGAAATAACAAATATTTTTTATTTTTATAATTTTTTTACTTTACTGTTGGGGGCTCTGGGAAAATCAGGGGACTGATATTTCCCTTTTGAAACATAAAAAGAGATTGAGAACACCGCGTCCTCAATCTCTTTTTCTGTTATGAATGAACACGAAACCTCTATGCTGAGTGCTCCTGTCCATTAATAAACTGTACTATGTCCACAATCATAAATGAACAGGAAGTGATGTAGAGCACTTCCGGTTCCTTTATAACTGGGGACAGTAAGCATACTATGTCCTCAGAAATTTACAAACACTCAGTGATCAGTTACAAACACTCTGCTGCTCCACCTGTCACAGGAGGCCGAGCTCTCCTCCGGCAGCTCCCTGCTCGGCCTCCTGACAGCTTCTCTCCTCCCCGCTAGGCGCTAGATCGGCTCTGTGTCCCCTCCAATCTCAGCTGCCTCTGTCAATACAGAGGGGACATAGACCGGCACCCAGCAGGGTAAAGCTAGGGATGCACTGCATTTTGGTACATAGTGCAATTTTGGGGTGAAATGTTTCGGCAGCCCAAATTTCGGTGCATCCCTACAACGTATGATATAAGTACCACTGAAGCTGATGAAGCACAAATCATACTTCACCAGTTTCTTCTCCGGTCACTGAAAGCATAAAACCGGAATTTACAAAATTCTCATCGCTTCCGGATTCAGTAATCAGAGGGGAGAGCAGACACTGGAAGTATGCTGATCTCCCTCCAGTGCATGTCCGTTGGGTGACAAGCACTGGCTTGTCACCCAACAGAGGCTGGGATAGCGGTAGGGCAGCACCCTTTCAGCAGCATACATGTGATCAGACATCTCTATGTAAAGTGCTTAAAGGAGAACTATGGGGTTAGGGCTTTTCCCTATAGTTCTCCTTAGGGTAACTTGAGGACACAAACTAGCGTCCTCCCGTCACCCTAAGCTCAGCTATAGCTCGCGGTATACTGAGACGCCGCAGCTGAAGCGGTTCCGGGCAGAGATCTGTGACAGGATCGAGAAGTGAGCGAATGCCGGTATGTGTTCGCTCACTTCCCGATCTACTGAGCCGACCTGTGACAGTCTCATTGTCACAGGTCGGCTAGAAATATGAGGTGAGTGAAAAGCACTCAACTCATAGTTCTCCTTTAAAGCAGTTTGCAAATCACTATGCCATTGGCATGCAAAAATGATAGCATGAATCTGTGGCTCTGTTTTGCAACCAAGGTGACAGAATGAGTTCTGCCTGATTATGTAGCAAAATAGTGGCTGCCTCTTTTCTCTCAACTGTAATGCAACAGCAGAAACTGCAATTTTAAAGGCAATATTTATAAATGTTCCCCACAGGGCTTTAACCCCTTCATGACTGAGCTTTTTTTTCAGTTTCTGTTCGTTAATGATTGAAGCACTTTTTACATTTTTGCTGTGTGATTCTTCCAAGGCAGTAATATACTTTCCAATATGCATCCACACATATTACATATGGTTTTTTAGAGGACAGGTAGGCAGGGGCGTCCCGAGGCCGGGTGTCATTGCGCATGCGTGGCCGTCTGATTGACGCCTGTCGGCAGCCATCTTGGTGATGGACGCCGGCAGAGAGAGGAGGGGACGTTCACCCAGCAAGATGAGGTATGCCGCCGGGTACCCTCCTCTCTCCTGACACTGTCGGGCTCTCGGTCCACTACCGAGTGCCCAACTTTTTAGAAGGGGTGACACCAAAATGACTGTCATTTTGGTGCCATCCCTGCAATGGTGTCACCCAGGTGCGGGCCGCACCTCCCACACCCCCCCTTGTGAGGCCACTGCATGTAGGGCTATATATGTATATCATGTGTGTGCCTAATGCCTCACTTAGTACAAGTACAATATTTTTTTAAATCAGGTGAAAAAACATAAATAAAACACTTGTTCCCCAGTTTTGATTATAATTTTTTTAGAAAAATAGACAGCTAAAAAAATGCATAAAAAGTAAATTAATTTATTTGTCCTTTATTTGGATACACCTCACATCCCTAGGATTTCAGACATTTTTCTGTACTTCTTCTGTACTTCTCCTGGCATACAATGTCGCTGTCACACTTAGAGCCCGTTCACATTGAGCGGTTCGCAAATCGCGCGTTTGTCGCACGATTTGCATTTTGCGCGATATCGTGCGATTTGTCGCGCGATATCGCGCAAATGCTTGCATTGAGCAAGCTTGAATCGCGGCTAAATCCGCTCCAAAAAGGGTCCTGCTGTAGCGACACACGACCCGCGACAGCAGGACCCTTTGCCCCATTGATAAGCATTGGAGAGCGATATCGCGGGAATTACCGCGCGATAAATCGCTCAATGTGAACGGGGTCTAAGTGACAGCCACATACTGACTTACCTGTCGCCAGATCGCTTCTGCGTCCCGAAGAAGGGCCCCCCCACCGAATTTTGCATGCTTATAAGCAGGGCCCTCCCTGTAATGAGCCTCGGATGGCAATTCTTTAGGTCACATGGGGGGCGGCCACTCTGCTGCCCCCTTTACAGCCAGAGGGTCCAAGGTTGCCAAGAGCCAGATGGGGAGATGTGTAAGGGATGCTCTGGCCGGCATCCAGCCCACCTTCTGGTTGCCCCTGCTTATAAGTATGCACATGTAAGCAGTGGTGTACCTGGGTGGAGGCAGTCCCTTATGACTGCACCCCCCAACCTTGCCAAATGCACTTTGCCACATTATCTGTGGTTCTGCATTGCCCCCTACCTCAAATAATAGGTAACACAGAGCTAAGGAGGAGCCAAGGGGAAACTTAGGAGGGCTTTCCTCCCTCTGGTATGATAAGTGATCTAATGAAAGGGGGGGTTGATAATAGGGGCAGGGTTTGTTGGGAGAGAGGTTTTTGTTTTTTTTTTGCTGGTGGGGGCTATATTGGAGGTATGGGGGTTTTGCTGATGGAGGTTTTCTTCCTGCAGTTTTGTTTGTGGGTACAGAAGGGGGTGATAGTCAGATTTATGCAAGGGGGGAGAGAAAATTAATATTTTGACCCCATAGTGTCACAATTGCCCATTTGTTTACATATAGTCACAATTGCCAGTTTGTTGCTCCCATATAACCACATTTGTTGACTGCATATTATTACGTTTGTGCATTTGTTACCCATATATTGTTACAATTGGCTGTTTTCTGCCCCCATAATGTATGGTTGCCTATTTACTGT